AAAAGTGTGGTTTTGGACATGTTTTTCATGTTAAGTTGATGTTAAAATTATTAAATATAGTTAAAATTATGTTATTATTGTTTAAATAGATGTAATTAATAAATATATAAAATAAATAGTAAATATATTTTTTATCATAAAATATTATTAAAAAAATGAAATTATATATTTGCAAAATACTAAAATATTATATTTTTATTTATAATATTTCAAGTATTAGTATAGATTATAAATTATAGTGGCTTTTGAGTTGGTTATTTTCAGTGCGTCAGTCAAATCAATCTTAATGACTCATTCAATCTGACTGAATCAATACTGAAAGTGAACTCTGATCCAGCCAGAAATTCGAATCAGAATTATCCATTTTATATATTTATTTATTGAAATGGTTTGTAACAGTTATTCAAGAATGAATAACAAGAATATAACCTCTTTATGTGCACATTTTTATAACCACAGATTTGTATATGATGAAAAAACGTCTATATTAACATCCTCCATCATTCAGCAGCCGCACTGAACAGCTCTCATCCAGCACATGGAGTCCTGTAGAGCTGTTTTGCTGAGTAATAAGCATGACGGGATCGGGTATGAAGGATTTCTGGCTCTCAGCACACCCCATAAATCGGCCTCGTAACCTGGGCCGCTCCTCGTGTGGCGCTTTGCTCCATAACAGACCGAGCGTTCAGCACAACCGCTGCTCTTAAAAGTGTCTGAGGGATTGTGTGTGATGGATTCGCACACACACACACACACACTCTTATTTTGAAGGATGGTCCCCATGTAGCTCCACCCCGCCTCACACAAATTCTCCCTGAGAGGATATTTTTCTTTTTATCAATTGTCCGGTGCACGTCGTGTCCTCAGTAAATAAATCAACCAGGGCCTTTGTTTTGCGTCTGTTTCCTTATCTACCCAGCCCTCGTAATTCTTAGACGACCTGCCACAGCCCTGTGTGTGTGTGTGTGTGTGTGTGTGTGTGTGAGAGAAAGAGAGAGTTTGTCTCAGCTGCTGTCCACACCGGTGTGGTTGAATCTGCATATACTACCCTGTGTGTGTCTGATAATGCTATAAACAGTGTGTATTCTTGTATCCTTGACTCAATGACACACTAACGTTTAGAACATGTAGTACATCATCCAGTTATTGCATGCATACAAAAAGTTGACATACTGGGAACTGTATACATACTGCATTCTGCAGAAAATACATAGATAGATAGATAGATAGATAGATTGTGTAAGGAAGTGAATGAGAGAGTGTTAGTTCAATAAGAAGGATGTGAAGGAAAAGAGAAGAGGAAGAGATGGATGGAGGAGGATGTTTTCTGGCAGTGTCAGGTCAGCATTTGCGCTGCGTGTCATGTAGGTGGGTAGCTGTGGATCGGACGCTGGAGACGGAGAGACCACAAAAGATGGAGAGACATTCCTTGACTCAATGACACACTTAGGTATACGCACACTTAAACGTCAGACACTGATATGGAAGAGTAAAAAAAACATAATCTATAGCAGAGCTGCTATAGCTTTAGAATTTGTGCACTTTAACCTGACGTTACTAACGTTTAGTACTATGCAAAAGATTGGTATTTCAAATAAATGTTATTTTGAACATTCTATTCATTAAGATGGATGGAGGAGGATGTTTTCTGGCAGTGTCAGGTCAGCATTTGCGCTGCGTGTCATGTAGGTGGGTAGCTGTGGATCGGACGCTGGAGACGGAGAGACCACAAAAGATGGAGAGACATTAGTGACACTCTGAGTGTAACAAACAGAGACAGAGGAGGACAAAAGAGAGCTGAGTGGAGAAGACAGCCGAGCGGAGGAACCGCAGCGCAGGTAGAGACAGACAGATGAGAGAGTGAGACACGTTGCAAAAGTTTTACTTGCTCTCTGAGACAAACTGCATGGGACAAAAGTGGAGTACGCTTGCAGAGAGCTGTCAGTTAAAGGTATAGTTCACGAAATCTAGCGCACCTTTTCAAGCGGTGTATGGAGGTGGGAAGATATCAAGACACAACCGAATCCAGTGTGTGCAGAACATTCCTTCATCCAGCTGAGATATAAATGATCATTAAAGGGGTCATATGATGCTTTTTTTAAAGATCATTATTTTGTATATTTGGTGTAACAGAATATGTTGACATGCTTTAATGTTCGAAAAACACATTATTTTTCAAATACTGTACATTATTGTAGGTCCTCTATGCCCCGCCTC